GGAGAGGATGCAAACCTGTCTCCTGAGACCTAGATAAACATTAATATTTTGCCTGCCTGGCTCAGTCAGGGTCCCAGCAGAGTCCCCCGTGGAGTCCAGCTAAGACAATCAGTTCCTGATGTCTAACACTCTATGACCAGCTGGGTGCCAGGCAATTAGTGGTAAAGACAACATATAATGTTAAATTTAGAATACATTTTAGAGTAAGAGTAAGCTCTAAAATAATTATAATTATATAATTTAAAAATAGTTATTTACTATATTAGTCCATTTTCACACTTCTGTAAAGGTACTACCTGAGACTGTGTAATTTATAAAGGAAAGAGGTTTAATTAACTCACAGTTCCATGTGACTGGGGAGCCCTCAAGAAACTGATAATCATGGCAGAAGGCAAAAGGGAAGCAAGGCACATCTTACATGGCAGCAGGAGAGAGTGAGAGCAAGAAGGAGGAAGTGCCAGATACTTATCAAACAGCCAGATCTTGTGAGAACTCTCTATTACAAGAACAGCATGGGAGAAGTCGTCCCCATGATCCAATCACTGCTCACCAACTATATCCCTCTATACATGAGGAGTACAATTCAAGATGGGATTTGGGTGGGGACCCAAAGCCAAACCATATCATTACTGACCAATCAATTCTTATGAGTGGATCTATAGAATAGTTCCACTCAAAAATCGTTTTCAAAAATAAAGCTTCTTATAAGAGATAAAAATTAGATATGTTTATAGTTATAAATGTTCTTATATTTTTAAAAATTAAAATATGCAATGATTTATTGAGTATTAAAACTCAAACAGCAGACTTATTCTTAGTATATTCTCACATATTTTAATAAACTTACTATATCTCTCTTTAATACTTCTACGTTGTTATTTTTTGAAAAAAAATGTGTGCTATTCAGTATGGATATATTATACTTATTTTTAAAATAAAATTTTCTGCAATATTCTACAAAGATATATTTTAAGGTTAATACATTTAAAATTCTTAACAGCTTAAAAAGCATAGAAATACAAGATGAAATTGTAGTGAAGCCAGAAATTACCTGCAAATTACATCTGTCACTTAAATATACATCTAATATAGGAAATTATTTAGTTACATTGTTTTGTCTTCCCTCATTGTCTGCCACAGAAAACACTAAAAGTACAGTAGTCCCCTCATATCCAAAGTTTCACTTTCATCAGTTTCAGTTACCAACACTCAACTGTGGTCCAAAAATATTAAATTGAAAATTCCAGAAATAATACTTAAGTTGTAAATTTTGTACCATTCTGAACAGCACGATGAAATCTCGAGTTGTCCCACTCAGTCTTACCTGGGACGTGAATTCTCACTTTGTCAGGCAGATGCACACTGCATCCACTTGACAAACCTTAATCACTTAGTAGCCATCTTGGTTATCAGATTTACTGACACGAGATTGCAGTGCTTGTGACCAAGGAATCTTTATTTATTAGGCCTTCATAGTGGCCTCAAAGTACACAAATGTAAAACCCTATCTTAACAGGCAGTGTGGTCACCCCAGTATTCACAAGCACATTTCAAAAAGTGTTGATTACTATCTTCACTATTAAATAATTGCATACCTCTGTAAAGGAACTGTTAAACAGATCATTTCATTCCTACTATCTTTAGTGTTTCTGGTGAAACCAAGGGATATCCTACATGGCCAGATGACTTTAAAATGTATGTAATTATCCACATATAAAAATGTACCTATATTTAAAAGTAGCATTAGTGAAATGTCATCATGAGTGTCATTTTTCTCCACATGGTTTTCCTCTGATCCTTTTGTGGTTTCCTTCATTTTTCCAGCAGCATATTTCAATGTGGCGTGCATCATCATTTTTTCTGCCATGCCTGTTTAACTGCCCTTATGTAGCATTTACTTTCCATAAATGCCTCTATGGCTTTGTGCCAGTGAAAATAAAAAACTAAAAGTGCTAAAGCAACATAGTGCAGTGCAATTCACTCAGGCTTGGGTGTCAGACAGGTGAATCTGTGTTTATTATATAAGGTCTTTAAAGTATATGGAAATTGCAGGTCAAATTGCAGGCCTTCCACTTACTCACTGAGGAACTACATCCATAAAATGTGAATAATAAAGGGTGAGGGTTAATGTACCTAGCAGATGCTTACTAAATAGCGGCTATTATTATTTTCATCATTACCATCCCTAGAGTATAACCCAAAGGAAGTCGTGCATAAACACACTGGTGACCTGACTCAGTGGAATTCACATTGCTGACTTGACTCAATGCTTGGCTTATTTCTAATAAAACAGTAATGCTAGCTATGGAGCACCTCTTGTCATCTGGAAAATATACCCGAAAAGCACAGATGAAAAGAGGAAGCATGAGGCCAGCCCACTTATTTTTATTGCCACATTTAGTCACTAGGCTGAATGATAGGAAAGCAGAAGCTAAAACACAGTAAAAACAAACAAAAGACAAGAACTAATTGAGGAATTAAAGGACTTCTACTGCAGAGAAAGAGCTTGGGTTTAAAACAAATCATTAGCTGTTTTTGAGTGTATTTCTTTTTTTTTTTTTTTAAATTTATTTATTATTATTATACTTTAAGTTGTAGGGTACATGTGCATAACGTGGAGTGTATTTCTTGATTATTTAGGAGTCAACATCTCTGAGAAAGCAAAGCAAAGGTTGTCAGCCAGAACACAAGTTGGGCTTATTTAAAAGAAAGAAAGACTTTCATCAAGTAAAGAGTTTCCATAACCACCTATTTTAAAATGCTGTAAAATGTCATAACTCAGATTAAAAAAAGAATAATGTATCATATTAGAAAGTTTTTTTTCCAATTTTGTCTCGTCTTTTGTAGGGGAAAAGGCCATAGCTCTCCTGAAAAAAAAAAAAAAAAAAAAAAGAACTGGCCAAAGGCATATGAACCCTGTTCCATATTGCTGTAGCATGGTATATGAGATTCATGGGCTTGAACAAGTGAATAAACATTCATTACCTCTGCCTTTTTTTTTTTTTTAGGTGCCTCCTATACTGCTTGATAAGCAGTTCTCTGAATTCACTCCGGACATTACACCAATCATTTTGGCAGCCCATACAAACAATTACGAGATAATAAAACTCTTGGTTCAGAAAGGAGTCTCGGTGCCTCGACCGCACGAGGTCCGCTGTAACTGTGTGGAATGCGTGTCCAGTTCAGATGTGGACAGCCTCCGTCACTCCCGCTCCAGACTCAACATCTACAAGGCCTTGGCCAGTCCCTCTCTCATTGCACTGTCAAGCGAAGATCCTTTTCTCACAGCCTTTCAGTTAAGTTGGGAGCTTCAGGAACTGAGCAAGGTGGAAAATGAATTCAAGTCGGAGTATGAAGAGCTGTCACGGCAGTGCAAACAATTTGCTAAGGACCTACTGGATCAGACAAGAAGTTCCAGAGAACTGGAAATCATTCTTAATTACCGAGATGACAATAGTCTCATAGAAGAACAAAGTGGAAATGATCTTGCAAGACTAAAATTGGCCATTAAGTACCGTCAAAAAGAGGTGAGTGTTGCCAGACTTGATCCATCAAAATGTCATAGAATTTAATCACACACGGCGAAGCAAACTGCTACTCACAAAATTAGTTTTGAGTTTTAGAGCATTTTCTATTCAGCTGTAAGTGGATGACATTTATTGTCTGCTGGATTAATAATTATGAATCACATTGAAGAGTGGTAATAAATTGTTTAATAATTGATGTTTTTGGCCTCTGTGTTAAAATGTACACATTGAGTACGGTATAATGGAAAAGCTAATGAATTTTAGTATGTCCAGACTGAGGTTTCTGGCTCTGCTATTTATAAGTCTTGTAACTTTAGAGGGTCACAGATAGATTTCCTTAAGCTTCAGTATTCTCACCTGCTTAATGGATTTAATAAATATATATGATTCAGCCCTCTGTATCAGCAGGTTCTGCATCCTTGGGTTCAATCAAATGTGGATGGAAAGTGCAGCATTCATAGGATGTGGCACCTTCAGATATGGAAGGCTGATTTTTTCCTATCTATGGATCCTGTAGGGCCAACTGCTGCAGGGCTAGAGCAGCCATGGATTTTGGTATCTGCATGAGGTCCTGGAACCAATCCCCCACAGGTGCTCTGTGACAGCTGTATACATAGACAACATTTTCCTCATAGGCTTTTAGGAAGTGTGAAATATGTGGATGTGTGAAGACTCTTAGTAAATTATATAGTATTGTTTTATTTATATCAATAAATACATTATTATAAATTCTTAATAAAATAAAATACTTTAGTACAATAGCAGATGTAAGTACTAAAACTTTTCTCATGTCTTGCTCAGTTTTTTGATTTGTCAGGAATAAGAAACCAAATAAGTTCATTGCAAGGGAGTAATAAATTTATTGTAAAATGTCCATAAATTAAAAATGCTATGTTAAATAACGTAATCTCATACCTCTTACCCTTAATCGCCCAGCATAATTGCTTTGTGTTTGAGTGAGTTCTCAAAAGACTGTTTACTTCTATCTGAAGAAAATATTGGTTCTCTGTTCACCCTTAAATAATAGCAATTTTCTATTCCAGAACAATACTTGGAAATGCTATGTAAGATGAAAAACGAAAGAGAAAAAGTAAAAGACTTCTGAATTGTAAAATGTACTCAGTTTCTCTTGAATTTGGCCTTGATAATCCCATGTAAGCCCTGGCTGCTTTGTCTGTTGCTACTCACTAAATACTCAAGGCTCAAGATACCTGAATTTGCTTTCTCAATTTTTTCCTCTAGTTATGTGATTAGTTAAGCTGATCTGGTTGTTACGGGAGCCAGAAACAAGGTGAAATGAACTTTTTCCTTAATAGTGAAGTGAACAGCGTCTTTTGTGTCCATTCCCTCTAACTCTAAAATCACCTTTGCTATTTTGAGTCCATGTCAGCAGTATTAACTCATTTTCTTAGGTTTTTATGTTTTAGACTCAGAGATCTAACATTTTAAATGAACTAGAATAATTTTACTGTACCACGATAAGATACATTGATGAAAGATATTCAAACTGGTAAATGGGAAGATAAGAAGTCATTATAGGCTTTAGACTGGAACGATATTGAGATATCGATGTGGCCTAAATCTTCTTAAAGATCCATATTAGCACAGTAGTATGCTTTGCTTTCTTTAATTTTTCTTTGGAGAAGGGGTTTAAAGAATCGACACGATGATTGCAAAGATTTTCTCTTATGCCATAGCTGTTAGTGTTAACATTATCCTACAAACGTTGAATGGAATAAAGTTCCCAAGATGTGCAATTCATGAAATGAAACAGAAAACCCAGAATCAGCCTGCTCTGCTCACCTGTTGCTCTTTAGGTCTCTCTGCAGCCAGTGAATGAACTCAGATTTATTTTTTGCCTGCATTCATTTTGGTCATGCCATCAGAGCTGATTTAACGTCATCTTTGGCCACAATAACTTTTGTGAAAGCCTGGGAACAAAATACTCATAAACTCCTTTACCATATCCTCATAACAGAATGCTGTCAATGATATTACATTAACTGGCGCTGCCAAATTCCTGTTAAAGAGTTGTTCGAGATAGAAATTGTAATTTGAATTTTGCATGTTTATATTTATATTTTTAACTAAAAAGCGTTTAATACACTTTGGTCATGTATTAATTTCCTTAATAACTCTTTCAACATATATTTCACAGAACACATTCCAGGCAACGCACGGGGCACTTGGGATTCCCTGGTGTCAGGTCTCTGCTCTCATACAGCTTATCATCTATTAGGAGAGACAATAAAACATTGAATATATGTTCTCCATTTTGTTCCTGAACCACTAAAAATGTTCTTCCTTTCTGAACATGTTTTCTTTGCTTATGTTCTTCTGTATATGTTATAAATATAAAAAGTGCATTCGATGTCAAAACCTATGAAAAAGCCATAACTCTAATCCCATCTTCAGTATGTAAGAAGCAAAGCAATGGAAGACATTTGATAATTTCTAACACTTCTCTTAAGATGTTTGTATTTTTGCTTATATGAAGTTATGGAAGGGTGATAGAGCCTAATAACACAAGATAAAGGATAGCAAAAAACATCTAGCACGTAACAAAAAAATAAGAATTAGTGCTATTTTTTAAAAGATAATTTTCTTGTAGATATGATGTCTTGCTATGTTGCCCAGGCTGATCTGAAACTCCTGGGTTCAAGCAATCCTCCCCAAAAGATACAATTTTAAAAGACATTGTATGGTATTTTTTTCCTTTCAAAATGTTTTGAGATTTCAATGGAGAAAAAAATGAAAATGAAATTCTTACACAGTTGTTCTGAAGTATCTTGCATTTACTATCAAAGAGTATGTTTTTCTCAGATTGATGATTTTCCCAAAGCAAAATAACATTGGATAACTGATAGCATAATTTAAAAAATTCAGGAATAACATTTTACTTTCATATATACCTTTTACAATCATAAGTTGTGTTTTACAGCATGTATTCTTAGGTTATTCAGAAATTATTAAATTCAAATATTAAAGGTTTTCTGGTAAGATCATGTGCCTTAAAGAAAACTCTGCTTTAGCATGTCTTGCTTCATATCTTTCTTACCAAAAGTTTTCCTTGATTTGGTCTAAACAAGTCTGAGGTTTGTCTTTAGTCCATCTCTCAGGATTTGGAATGCTTTCTCATTAACCTTCATTCACATACCTAAGTCCTGCACACTCTTTAAAGATCATCTCACGTCTTGTCTCACCCCAGGAGCATTCTATGAAGCAAACCCCTCCGTAGACTCTCTTGGATAAATGTCCTCATTATACACACCTTAAATTGCATTGTGTTATTACTTTTCCATCTCCTCCTCTAGGCGGTGTCAGGAACACATCCATCTTACCCACCAGTCATACTGTAGCCCCTGACATACAGAAGGTGCTAGGTGATGAATGCACCTGAATGAAGTCACGGATGCTCTTAGATCTGGATGGTTCCCTGCATGTTTCTTTGCCTGAATAAATTGCACTGTTTAGTTTAATCTCCTAATAACAGTTTCCTTATGAATAAACATATTAAAACAATTAATGTTGCCAGGATCTGATTGCAGACTTGTTCTGGTACTTCTCTAATTTCATCCAAAGGGAAAGCTGTGTTAATTACATGCCAGAGATATTTTTACATTTTCATTTTATATATTCTTTCTAAGCAGCAGCATCATAGAAAGAAGAATTTTATTATTTCTATTAATTCTAGGCTAATGATGCTGTAATTGTATTGATCATATATTAGTAGAACAAACATCTTGTATCAATTCAAATGAATGTATTTTAGCAACTGGGTTAAGTTGTTTGCATTGTTTATTATATTAAACCTCCAAATACACTTCTGAAGTATGAACTATTTGTTGTTGGTTTTTTCATGAAAAAGTCAGAGTCACAGAGGGTTATATAATGTGCAGTGTTACTCTGTTAAATATTGGGGCCAGATTGCAAATCCAGATCTTAACTACAAAAACTTTGCTCTAACCATCACACCATATTGCCTCCACCCAGACATCATCCTGCCGAACACTGGGTAAACCTGAGAAAACTGAAGCTACTAGCCTAGTTTCGTTGAGCACATGAATTTATTTTATGACTCAGCTCCCCTGTAATGAAAGCCTTGCATTTCAATGTGAAGTTTTCTTTGTTTTCACATTGTGATGAAGGACTTGATTTCTTCAGAGAGTGTGAAGCCTGCTTTTCCTTTCTTTCTTATTCCACTTTTATGTTTCCGTGTCAAACAAAAATCTTTCAAGTACCATTCTGCGATGGGACAGGTTTAAGGTTTAAGGTTGCTCCCTTGACCAAGCACTCCCATCCCAATGTCAATCATCTAAATGAATAATATCAAAGGAAGCTGGAAACAAAAAGCATGTAGTCATACCCTTAAAACTGATTCTTCCCCTGAGTGTAACATAAAGGCGAGGTATGACTGAGGACATGTCTTAGACAAAGAACTTGTCCTTTGGTTTCTGGCATGATTTTTGCAGATGCAGAGTCTGTGGCAGTTAAAATTACTTTCATGTAGTCATTCCTCTTGCCTAATATTTGTAAGATTACTAAAGGTGAATGGGAAGCTTAATGCACTTCTTAACTATGTTTTACAGCAAAGACCTTCCCTAGTTTTAAGTACACGATTCACGATATTGTGAAGTAACTAAGAGGCAGAGTAGCCTAGATGTTGAATAACAATAAAAGAAAGGAAATACATTATTCTGTCTAAAAACATTACAATTCAAACTCTCTATAGCGTTTCAAATTTAAGTGAAAAGTAATCTCTACACAGTAAATAGTATAAGATATATATGTATATACGTGTATATGTGTGTGTATATATGTGTGTGTGTATATATACATATATACACATATACATACATATATACATACATACACACACACATATATATATAGTCTTTCCCTTTCATGAAGGTGTTTCAGCAGCTTTGCAACATTAGCTTAAACTTTGGAACTAATCTGGGTTTTGTCCCATACATTAATGGGATTGTTGAAGAAGGAGA